TAATGATATTCTAATGGGCCGCTTTGTGACATCACAAAGCCCGGAAACAACGCTGTAGTCCAAACGAGCCGTTCTTTGTAGTTTTTGAAAAGGGATTTTTTAAAAGCGAAATATCTCCCTTTGTAGTGGACTTTGAGATTTGTAACTTTGTAGATGTTTTTTATACCCAATCATACACACTGACTAAAATTAAAAAAGTGAAAAAGCATAATAGGACCCCTTAAATTCTTTTCATTTCTGCATTAAAATATGACCCTAATCTTTCTTGACAGGTTTCGTGAGACTCACCCATGCTTGTTTGTCTTAATTCTCTTACGTTTAGTCTGTTGTAACACCTGCTTAGAAGGCTAAGATAAACAGTAAACTACTTGAACACAAACATGCTCTGATCTGTACTCTGGTGTATAGGTTTGCATCCTTTGATATACTTTTGCTTGCTTTTAATGTTTAATTTTTTATGTATTCATCATAGATAGCGTATAAACATAATCCAGCAGAACTAATATCATGTCTCTGTGTATATGTAGTTAAAAGAAAGCATGGTCAGACAAAAGATTTCACTAAGAATAAACTATGCCCTTGGGTCTTGGGTCTTTAAGGCCCTGTCCACAAGAACGCGGGTATTTTCAAAACCGCAGCTTTTTCTGGGTGGTTTGGCCGTTCGTCCACACGCAAACGCAGCACCAGGTCACTGAAACCGAAAATTTTTGAAAACTCCTGCCAGGGTGAAGATTTAAAAAAAACTCAGTTTGCAGTGTTATCGTGTAGACATCGAAACCGGAGATTTAGGCTTGTGACGTCGGACCCTGCGCTGTTATCTCCGCCTACTGGAAACTTTTTCAGGCTTCTGATTGGCCAACATGGCTTTACGGTTGAGATTATAGCGCCACCTGTTGGTTTGGCATGATCTTGACAGTGCTTCATAGCATGCTTTTGCGTTTTCATGTGGACGGAGATTTTTTTAAAAACAGAAGAAGGAAAAATGCAGAAAAATGTGTATAAATAAATCCTGCATCTGGATCCATGCCCAGTTAAAATCATTTGATCACTATTTGATGGACTACTGCTGCCATGATCACTAAAATATTTTTTAATATTCTGATACTAATGTTGGGTAAAAAGCGTTGACATTTGTGAGTCTGTCACATTCTACAAAGAGCGTCATTTAAATGGCATTTATGGTTATGGCTGCCCAAAGATGAACAACAATGACCTAATTTAAATATGCATATTGTGCCTCCTTTAATTGGATTGTGGGTGGTTGGTGAATCATCACAAGTTTTGTGCTGAAATACCACAATCTAGTCTTGCATTGCCAGACTTTTGACTAACACCATGAAGTCTAGTCCACATTGGAATTTATTCTGGCCAAGAAATGCCCACTTGGACAGAAAGAAATCACCTGACCAACAAGTTAAAAAAGTTGTGTAAAGCCAGCTAGTCAGATCAGAACTGGTGATTTCAGCCAGCCTTTTAATTTTTTGTACATAATATGCATCAGAATTTAGTGAACAGACTGTAGGCGGTCTGTAGTGTGCCGTCTGAGGCTGAGACTAAGTGCCACAATTGGTAAGTGAATTCATCCCACAGTAGCTGTGTCTCATTTAGAAGGCTGCACCCTCCGGAGGTCGAATCCTCTGGAGGTCGCATCCTCTGTAGGATGCATATACGAAGTGTCCTCAACCTAGAATTAAACGAGACGGCCTTCGTAGGACGGGCGGAAAAGGAAACCGGAAGTATCACGTTGCTATGCCAACACATTTAGAGCATCGTTGCGCTCTCACACTACTTAAATGAAGGAAAATTATTTCTAAATTTGGAAAGTAATTTGAAAAAAAAAATGCTTTTACTTGTTTTATTTTGTTCAATTTTTGAGGAGCTGCAGCGTACCTACAGCAGGCATCTATTAAGAGAAAAAAAGGAGGAGGATATTAAAAACAAAGTTTATCCGTTTTTACTGAGGCGAATTAAGGTAAATTGTAAACACCACATCTGCGCTTGTGTGTATGTTACATCTGCCGGCGCCGGCATTTTTCAAATTAACAACGGTTGTTCACGGCGACGCAAAGAATTGTGGGTTATCTGTAGCAGCGAAGGATAGACCTCATGCACCCTCCGAATTATTGTGAAAGAAGGTTGCATTCGAAGGTCGCATTCGGAGTGTCCTACTTGCTTTTCTGAAATGAGACAGCCTCGATGACGTATGCAGCCTTCGAATGCGACCTCTGGAGGGTGCAGCCTTCTAAATGAGACACAGCTAGTGTCTTCACGTCTCTCATTCATTCTGCTTCCCCGCCCCCTTTGGATGTGTTTGATTGGCTGTTTGATTGCCAAATTAACAGACTGATTGGCTCACAAGGACTTGGCCACTTTCTGATTGGCAGGGGGAGTACGTGTCCTGCTTGTTGTCCCTCCTGCGTCAAATGTCGGACATTCATTTTCAACACCTACTGGACAACTTCCAAAGCAAAGAGGAGCTAAAGGTGAACCGTTTCATAAATTTCAGAAACCAAGCATTTGAATCATTTATATTATTGCTTAAATATGAAGTTTTTAAATGTTAAATGTGAAAATACTTTCTTCTAACTCAGCTTATACAATCCTATCTCTTGCAGGAGTTCTTGCTGAAGATTTTCTGTGTGTTCAGAAACCTGATGAAGCTCAGTATATTCCCACGTGACTGGAACGTCATGCGACTGCTGACCAGCAAGTGAGACCTCATTCTTACTTCCTTCCAAAGTAGTTTTGGATTTTTTATTTTTTTTCAAAACATTGATTTGCTTTGAATAAAACATATATAATATATATGGTATAATACAATGTATTTCTCTTGAAATATCGTATTTTTAGTATTTGTACAATGTCTTTCAGACAAAAACAGTAAAGTCACGCTTTCAATATGAATGTCATTGCATTAGATGATATTTTTACAGAGCATATATTCAGTTTTCAAGAAAAAAAAAAGTTTTTATAATAGATTTGATAAAGTTTGGGGATGAAATTGATCAAATGTTCATCAAAGAATCCTGAAAAAAAGTATCATGATTTTTACAAGATATTAAACAGCTGCTTAAGTAACTCTTTTCAGCTTTGATAATAATCAGAAATGTTTCTTAAGCATCAAATCAGCATATTAGAATGATTTTTGAAGAATCATGTGACTTGATGATGATGCTAGCTTCAGCACTGGATCACAGTAATAAATTACATATTAAAAATATTAAAATAGAAAATATTTTCTTTAAATTGTCATAATATTTCACAATATTACTGTAGTTTTGATCAAATAAATGCAGCATTGGTGAACATAAACTTTTTTTTTTAAATATATATAAAACACTTTAGAAAAGTAGTGTATATTTATACTGTTCAAAATAAATGTATCTATTTGCTCTTCTTTCTTGCAGTATCATTGTGAGCACAACTCAGTATCTGTCGCCTGCTCTCCATAAAACTTTTGAAGAATCATGTGACTGGATGATGATGCTAGCTTCAGCACTGGATCACAGTAATAAATTACATATTAAAAATATTAAAATAGAAAATATTTTCTTTAAATTGTCATAATATTTCACAATATTACTGTAGTTTTGATCAAATAAATGCAGCATTGGTGAACATAAACTTTTTTTTTTAAATATATATAAAACACTTTAGAAAAGTAGTGTATATTTATACTGTTCAAAATAAATGTATCTATTTGCTCTTCTTTCTTGCAGTATCATTGTGAGCACAACTCAGTATCTGTCGCCTGCTCTCCATAAAAGCTTTACGGATGCTGACTTTGATTTTAAGGTGTGTGATTATGATGAACATCAACCACACATTGCACAACAAACTCCCTGGCACTGAAACACACATTAAACATAAATGTAATTTTTAAACCCGCACACACTTCTTCTTTCTAAATATCGTATTCCACATGTACACAAACGTGCTTGATGTGGGCCTTTACGGTGTCCTGCTGTTGGGCACACTTGGCTCTCTCTAATCCACTCTAATGAAGCTCTCCTCCCTGATCAAGACAGATGGTGCCACTAACCAGGGAGACTGGCTCTGAAAAGTTCAAATCTACTGAATTATTAATGAAGGTTATCTTTGAGAGAGAAGCATGGCCTTGTCTACCAGTGTGAGCTTTCACTGGGTATCCCCTGAAAAAAAAAACCCATAGACCATTGTGGAGCAACTTAAAGGGATAGTTCACCCTAAAATGAAAATTCTGTCACTAATTTCTCACCCTCGTGTCGTTCCAAACCCATAAGACCTTCGTTCATCTTTGGAACACAAATTAAGATATTTTTGATGAAATCCAAGAGCTCTCTGACCCTCCCATTGACAGCAATGTAATTACCACAATCAAGGTCCAGAAACGTAGCAAGGACATCGGTAAAATAATCCATGTGACATCAAGGGTTCAACCGTAATTTTATGAAGCTACGAGAATACTTTTTATGTGCAAAAGAAAAAAATAAAACGACTTTATTCAACAATAACTTTATTATAACTGAACTTTATTCAGGGTGACACGGAGGAGACAAATTGTTGAATGAAGTCAGTATTTTACTTTTGCGCAAAAAAAGTATTCTTGTAGCTTCATAAAATTACGGTTGAACCTCTGATGTCACATGGATTATTTTACCGATGTCCTTGCTACGTTTCTGGACCTTGATCATGTTAGGATCCTTACTGTCTATTGGAGGGTCAGAGAGCTCTTGGATTTCATCAAACATATCTTAATTTGTGTTCTGAAGATGAACGAAGGTCTTACGGGTTTGGAACGACATGAGGGTGAGAAATTATTATCATTATTAAAATAATAATGACATAATTTTCATTTTTGGGTGAACTAACCCTTTAAATCCGGAATCCAATCTGAACTGGTTAAGGTGGTTAATATACAGTGGTAGATCAGTTTGACCAGTGAAGCCATGCAAAACTTATTCAGCATATCATAAGTAATATCAATTGACATCCATAAGGTGTGGTCACATTAGTGAAATTTTGGCGAAATTTCACAGACAAAAAAAGTTCCATTTGTCTGTAATCATTAGTTTAGATGTATGAAGCGCAGCTCACACAGAAGACACTTTGAAACCAAGCAGATTTCTGTCGGTCAATGCAGCAAAGTTACATGACCAGTTAAACCCGCTGTGAAATCTGCATTGGAAATCTTTCGCAAAGTTCCAGATTCTTTGGATTTCTATTGAAATTACTGGATTTCATCAAAAAAAAAAAATGTGCAGAGCAGCATTAAAAGTGAGCGCACTGTTAGGGCCAGTTTTACTAAACAGGGCAAATTAGCACAAGAACGCAATTCCAAAACAGCGCCGATGGGCGTGGAAGGTTCTGCAGGTGATTTACTAACAACGCACAAATTAAAGAACACAGACGCAACATCTCTTTTACATATCGACCAACTCAATATACCAAGCACAGCGCAAATTAGCCTAGTCGCAAATAAAGAATAAAGAAATAAAGAAGCCACTATATTGAAAAGAAAGGCCAAAAAATGTAAAGCCCCGTTCACACCAAGAAAGATAACTATAAAGATAATGATATTAGCGTCCACACCAGCGAACGATATCGTCTGTTTATTCTAAGCGCACGCGCGTCTGCCGCTTTAACTTCTTGAGCTCGTTACAGCAGGATGGATTCTGATTGGCTGTCAGTGTTTTATCGTTCATCAGCTGGAAAAAAATAGTTTTGAAAGTGATCACAACGATATCGTTCCTCTGTATCGTTATCGTTATAGTTGTGGTGTGAACTATGCTATTCTTTAATATTGAGAATGATTTTTAGAACTATATCGTTATCGCTATCTTTATAGTTATCGTGCTTGGTGTGAACGGGCCTTAAGGGTTGCAAGAAGTTTTGATAGACCTGGTATTGCGTGACTCCTAGTTATGGGTTCCAAATCGTCTTTTATTTCCTGAAGCAAATTAAAAATAACATGGCTTGGCAAACGATATGCTCATATAATGTTTTCTTCTTGCATTCCAAAAATATTAATACGCGTGGAAAAAATCATCTCCCTTCTACCACGCGCTCTCTGTTCTCTGCGGTGCCTCCTCCTAGCAACAACAATTGCAGCCATTTCAAGCGCAAAGTAGTTTAAGACATGCTTTTTTGGGGCGTTAAATAATGGCGTAAATACCAGTAATTTGATGAACACAAACGTTAGTAAATCGTGTTGCGTGAATTATTTTAATACTCTCCTCCCATAAAGTTTGCGTCTGAAAGGGACACTCCTACAAATGCATATTCAATAAGGTCAGGCGCAAAAATAACTGTCTTTGGCAGCGCTGTTTCAAGTCTACCTAATATATACACAACCTAATCAGTTGTGTAGATCCATGTCTATCAGTGTGGTAGCAACAACAATTGCAGCCATTTCAAGCGCAAAGTAGTTTAAGACATGCTTTTTTGGGGCGTTAAATAATGGCGTAAATACCAGTAATTTGATGAACACAAACGTTAGTAAATCGTGTTGCGTGAATTATTTTAATACTCTCCTCCCATAAAGTTTGCGTCTGAAAGGGACACTCCTACAAATGCATATTCAATAAGGTCAGGCGCAAAAATAACTGTCTTTGGCAGCGCTGTTTCAAGTCTACCTAATATATACACAACCTAATCAGTTGTGTAGATCCATGTCTATCAGTGTGGGCTTTTACTGGATATACCCTGGAAAAAAGACAGCATAGACCAATGTAGAGCAGCTTAAATCTGGAATCCATTCTGAACTGATTAATGTACTTTATCATCATAGCTAGATCAGTTTAATTTGACCAGAGAAGTCATTGTTAATAAAGGCCTTCTGAAGTGAAGCAATGCATTTGTGTAACCGTATTTGAAATGTTATAAACCCTAATCTCTAGCTTCCGCTAAAAGTCGTACACACGTTCACGAGTGACATAGTGAACTATCCCTTTAAGGTGTGATCACATTAGTGGCATTTCATTGGCATACTGGATTTCATCTACAAAAATGTTTAGAGTTGGAGTAAAAATAATCTTTCCTTTAGTGTTCAAACAATAGTTCAGAATAGTTTGATATGGAAAATAATTAGGAGGTGTGGCTTCCTTTATGGAGGAGGAGGGGCCTAAGCTAAGGCACACCCACCAAACAATCAATCAGTTGTGTATATCCATAGTAAGGCTATTGCCAGCATGAATTATATTAGCTCTCCTTCAAAACTTTGTCAAGATCTCCATTAAAGACACAGTAGCATCACTAAACGTTTGTGTTTCTTTTCCGTCAGGTGTGGAATTCGTACTTCAGTCTGGCAGTGTTGTTTATCAACCAGCCCAGTCTACAGCTGGAGACGCTGACACCAGCCAAGCGGAAGAAGGTCTTTGACAAGTAAGACTTGATCCTGCTCATTCACACACATCGTAAAGGCGCTACGAAGAAATCAACCTGTCATTGTTTCTAAATGCGTGCAGATTGTACTATTTTTTTCCTCCACAGGCTTTCATTGTAAATGCATTTCGTTACTTACCAAAGGACAAAAATCCAAATTACTTTCACAAATGTCATGTCACAAATGCTGTCAGCAGAGCTTAAGTTGAATTTAACCTAAATACTCCTTTAAATACGAAACAAACAATAATTTGGCTATTGTAGCGAGGGCTAATCCATTAAATCCATCCAGAGTACATGCAACATCGCTTTGGAGTCTGTCTTTTCTGGCCACCACTCCCTCCTTTTGTTGTTATCCATGCGATCTGCATCTCATGATTAATAGATAACTGTTCCTTCAGTTATTGGTCAAATACTCGAACACAAAAAAACGCAAGACTGCCGCACGGCATGCAAGATAGATAGATGATAGATGAGTTTGTTGGGAGGGTCGATTCATCTCTCTGCTTCTCCACTTACGTCTGTGATCTTCAGCCCAGCGTGTGGCTCTTCTGTTTTTCTGAGTCTAGTATGTTTAATACATGCTGTCATTTTAGATTCTTGGATGGATTTAGAGGAGTTTTTGTGTGTTTTCATTGTCTTTGCAGGTATGGTGATATGAGGGTCATGATGGCTTATGAGCTGTTTAGCATGTGGCAGAATTTGGGTAAGTGTTTTGATTGTCTCTCTGTCTTTCGACTCTGTTTCATTACTTTGTTTTTCTATTCCTGCATTTCTCTGCACACGCACAGACAGAAACATAAACGCAAACATTCACTTCCTCCAGAAAAGCAGTACTGACCTCTAGAGGTGGAAGAAGGTACTGCACTGCATCAAATGACTCTGTAACCACCACAAGGTGTTGATGCAACTTTGGGCATTTTTATGTCACAGGGTTTTTCATTATTAAAATTATAGCAGATTTCAGATGCATTCTATTATATAAAGCTTACCCTCTTTGTTACATAAACATAGGTTTTCAGGCTTTAACAATAAAGATCCACCATATAAAAAAAATTAAATAAAGAAAAAGTAATGAATAATCACAATTTGTTTGGTTTGGCTGCAGGTGAGAATAAGATCCACTTCATACCAGGAATGATTGGCCCATTTTTGGGTGTGACGCTTGTACCGCAAAATGAAGTCCGAAATATAATGATCCCTATCTTCCACGATATGATGGACTGGGAACAGAGAAAGAACGGCAACTTCAAACAGGTCCATTATACCTGCTTCTGCTTTTCTGTCTTTTCTTGGCTATTTTTTCTGTTTCTCTTAACCTGAGTTATGTTCCAGGGAAATAAAAGAATATGATTTAAGAGTGATAATATTTTCACTCTAAATGTAATCAGTATTGATAAATGGTAAATAAAGTTTATTTCATTTATGATCTCCCTTGCTTTGGACAGAAAATGAATGAACAGATTATTTAATTATTTAAATTGAAATTAAGAAATAAACAAATATCATTGTATATGCAGGCTATTCTCAAGAAATAATACCATTTTGAAGTAAAAAAAAAAAAAAGAGTAAAATTAATATAATATTGAGTATATTATTATTATTGATATTACTATTATGGTAAATATAGTATTATACATTGTATATATATATATATATATATATATAATTGATTGTAGTATGATATTAGATATTAAATATGATTATTAATATAATTATATATACAGTGGGTACGGAAAGTATTCAGACCCCCTTACATTTTTCACTCTTTGTTAATTAATAATCAATCATATTAATCAGTATCAAACTTTCTTTGTATCAATGTTTTATTAAATTATAGTTATATAAAACACTGATACAAAGTAAGTTTGATATTTATTTATTTATTTATTTTTAAGCAGCATCCAATCTAATATTACTTCGCTATTTGGGTGGCACCAAATAACAAAAATAGCATAATTTCCCAAAACATATAAGTAGCACCAATAATGAAATGTTACTCAGGATTACGATCTGTTTCATTATAAGCACCTAATTTAGTTCATGTTTACGGTGCAGGTGGAGGCAGAACTGATTGACAAACTGGACAGTCTGGTGTCTGAAGGCAAAGGCGACGAGAATTACAGAGAACTCTTCAGTTTGCTGTAAGTGCACAAACACACACACATACACACACTCACTCTACCTTCTCTACTGACACACACAGCTACACATCCAGCTGTTTAAATACTCTTGTTATAACCTGAGTGTCTCTGATTTGCCTTGTGCTGCGGGATTATTAGAACTCAACTGTTTGGGCCGTACCCCAGGTAAGAGGAAACTAACCCTGTTCAACCTATCAGATGCCACTCAAATGGATCTTCCATTACAAGCCCCTCTTTTACCTTCAGCCCATTAAATTACCTTAAATAATTCTATAAATATGTGTGCTGTTTATGTCTAGTCTGCTGGAGAAGATCGAGCAGGAGACCTGGAGGGAGACAGGCGTCTCTTTCGTCACATCTGTCACGCGGCTCATGGAACGACTGCTGGACTACAGGTAAAACTCTCATGGATAAGTGTGATTTAGTTATTTATTTATTGAATTAGCTTTTATTTGTATATTTTCGGTGTTCCATTTAATTTTAATTTTAATGTTATTTTTCATCATTTTTTTATATTGGAATTTAGCTTTTATTTTTTCGATTTATTTTATTTGTAGCAATTATTTTAGTTTAGTTTTAGTAACTTTAGTACTTCAACTCATTTCAGTTTTGTTTTTTTCATCGTATATGTATATTTTATTTTAATTACCAAAAGCAATTAATAGTCGTTTCGTTTCAGCTTTTGTTAACGATTAACTTTCTGTCCACATTGCAGATTATTCTGGCCTGTAGTTGCTCGCTTAAACAGGAAATGGCCATTTGACTGGCGTGTAAAATGTTAACCAAAACTCATTATTGTTGTACAGTATTTAACACTCAATAAACTATGTAATTTAAGAACAAATTAAGTCAATTATTTTGTAAATTGCATAAAAAACCAGCCAAATTCCAGTCTAACTTTGAATTTTGAGAAGTTCTTCTCATATTTGTGTGCAAACGCATCATATGGTCCATATATGGTCAGTGGGTGTGGCATTAGAGGGCGTGTCTAATGAGACTTCCTGTTTCTTGTGTCGGCAGAGATTGCATGAAAGGCGATGAGACAGAAAACAAGAAGATCGGCTGCACTGTTAACCTGCTGGTGAGCCTTACCCTTCATTCAATTCTCTGTCAACTTGATATATGCAATGTGGCATTTTTGCAATAAAATAAAAGCAACCTGATGATCATTTGATCTCTTTTTGTAGAATTTCTACAAATCGGAGATTAATAAAGAGGAGATGTACATCCGATACATTCACAAGCTGTGCGACATGCACCTGCAGGCCGAAAACTACACAGGTGAGACATTTCTCAGAGTTACTTCACATAGACACGCTTAAAATAACACACAATGTGTTTTAACGTTTGAAAAAGAAGAGACGCAGGGCACTGGAATGAAAAAAACAACATAAGGTCAAGAGATTTTTCGGTCGAGAGGTCAACGCATTTTTTTTTTTTTTAAGTTAAACTTCTTTTATAAAACAGATAGTTCCGGTCCTTGATTCTGATTGGTTGAGCCAAGTTCGAAGCTGTTGTAAATTACTCTACAAACATACCCCTTTGTGTGCTGCTCGGCAACCACTTTGTTGGAACCACAACTGTTTCTGAGGAACTACATTGTTTGGCGGAAGAATACTGTTTTTATTAATATCATTGCACTTTACTTGCTTGGTTTTATTTTGTTAAACCTTACTACGTATATGGAATAACCGTTTTATAAAAGCAATAAGCCCCGTGAAGCCGTGGTTTACAGTGAATTTATAACAGCTAAGGGGGTTGTAGGCACTCCACTTCACGTCGCCTCAGCTGTTATAAATTCACTGTAAACCACGGCTTCTTGGAGATTATTGCTTTAGTAACTTGAGCGTCACATTTTTAAAGCGTCATTTCATGCATGGGGTGTTGCAAAAGACAAAAACGCAACGCTCAAACATCCTTCTAGCAAAGGGGCGGAGCTACATAAGGTCTATAAAGTACACATTTTATCACTATGGTCCAGATTTACCAAACAGGGCAAATTAGTGTTAGAGCGAAACTCCATAAAAGTGCCGATGGAAGGGGACAATTCTGCGTGTGATTTACTAACAATGCGCACATTAAAGAACACGGACACAGCCAGATCATTTCCATAATAACCAGCGCAATCTACCAAGAGCAGCGCAAATTACCGCCTGCTTTAAGACATGCTTTTTTTGGGCGTTAAATAATGGTGCAAATACCAGTAATTTGACGAGCGCAAATGTTAGTAAATCGTGTTGCGTGAATTATTTTAATACTCTCCTCCCATAATTTTTGCGACAGAAAGGGAAACTCCTAGAAATGCATATTCAATAAGGTCAGGCGCAAAAATAACTGTGTCCATGCCTTTTCAGCGCTAAGCGCTTCTTCACTACGCATCTTTAGTAAATCCTGACATTTACTATTTTAACGCCAAAAGACGGTTTGCGCTGACGCAAGCTGTTAGTAAATCTGGCCCTACGTATGTTTCCTGGTATTCGAACCCATGACCTTTGTGTTGCTAGCACCATGCTCTACCAGCTCTAAAAGGAAGTACGTTACTCAAAAGAGTATTTTAAATTTATCAACCTCTGTGACTCACAGAGGCGGCGTTCACGCTCCTGCTGTACTGGGAGCTGCTCCACTGGGAGGAAAGACCCCTCCGGGAGTTCCTGCACTATCCCGCGCAGAGCGAATGGCATCGCAAAGAGGGTCTCTGTCGTAAGGTCATCCACTACTTCAACAAGGGAAAGGTATTTACAGATATTATTATTTCAACAGTGTTTTGCCATATTTTGGAATAATTCCCATCAAATTAAATTGAAAATTGTCCATGCACAATGATCCTCCACAGACTTGCAGTAGAAAAGAGCAAAAGATTGTCTGAAAAAATGGTGGGTGGCAATGGTTGCCAAAGCAGGATTAGTCTATTAAGTTTTTAATGTACAGACTCCATTCACACTTTTGTGGATAATTTCAGAATTACTGTGAACACAGTTATCATGAGTGGCTCACATGCTTCGCTCTGAAACACAAAGCTCAGCAGATTACATATTTATAATTACAATGCAGTCTTTGCAATTTGGTAATCGCGCTAAAACATATCACGTTCCAGGCATTATTACACTTAAAAGAAAAAGTTGCCAGCCAACTTGTGAGTAACCAGTTTATATACAGTACTCACCAACTCCAAATTTACTTGGTGAGTGTTAATGTTAGGTCCTGCCTCTGCACGTTTGTGCTATTTCTGACAACGGGACAAATGGATTTAGAATTTCACTTGCCCATGTTGAGTGCAAACAGATCTATTAGTTCTTTCATTTCATCCTTTTTTGACTTTTAAACCTTATAAAGAAAGTCGGTGGGGTCCAAAAACACTGGACTTTCATTATAAGATTTAAAAGTAAAAAAAAACTAACAAACAACAACAAAAAAAACAATTGACTTGTTAAAGTTGCAATGAAACAGAAGTAGTGGTAGATCTTTTCTGTTGAATTGTTACATACATCCAAATATAACGGATTATCGAAAAGGACAAAAATGTAGGGCAGGACTTGGTTCTATGCGATGGGTTTTAATTGGATGTGGAAAATAACGGAAAATAACGTGGAATAAACATTTGAATGCACATTACAAAGTCAAAAATTTACCAATTCAAATAAAACCCTGCAAATTAAATAAAATATTAATTGTTCATAGTAAGGTTTATAATATGCATTTAGAAAATAGTTTCTAAGTTAATTTAATGTCAAATTTAACATTTTCAACATTCAAAATATAACTGTGATTGAATTATTTTTCAGATATTATGAGGTTTTTTTCTTCTGTTGAACACAAAGGAAGATATTTTGATAAACTTTGGTAACCACACAATTGACGTAGCCATTGACTTCTATAGAATTTGTTCCCATGCTATAGAAGTCAATGGCTACCATCAACTGTTTGGTTACCGACATTCTTCAAAATTTCATCTTTTGTGTTCAACAGACGAAATAAACTCAGAGGGTTAGTAAATGATGACAGGATTTTCATTTCTGGTTGAACTATCCCTTTAATTCTCACAAACACCTGACTTAAGCACCTATTACTTCGTGCAAACTTAACGTAACGAAATGTGTGATGTGGCATTTCTTTCTATAAACCTACCTAAAACTTGCCATGCCAGAACTGATGGTGTTTCTTTTTCAGAAATGTAAATCTAGTTTAAATTGCATATGCTGGCCTGTTCTTGTTCTCTTCCCAGTGTTGGGAGTACGGCATCCCGCTGTGCCGTGAACTAGCCCTTCAGTACGAGTCCCTGTACGATTATCAGAGTCTCAGCTGGATACGGGTCGGTGCTTTTTGATGTTCCTTTTTTTTTAAATGTGAATATATGAATAGAGATTATATAACAGCACTTTGAGTGGACCGCACAGCTATTAACGTACTGTTATGTATTATGCTCAGAAGGAGGTCAACGCTGTGTGAATATTTAGCTCTTTCTTTCTTTACAGAAAATGGAGGCGGCATATTATGACAACATAATGGAGCAGCAGCGACTAGAGCCGGAGTTCTTCAGGGTGGGATTTTATGGTCGGAAGTTTCCCTTCTTCCTCAGGGTGAGCTATTGCGATATTTACACGCTCTGTTTGTTTGTAATAATTGTAACGATTAAATGAAGGGATTGAATTTTCAATACCTTAAATTATATAATATGTATTTATTTATAGATTTTTCTTTCTCTCCACACAGAATAAAGAGTTTGTTTGTCGAGGGCATGACTACGAGAGACTCGAAGCCTTTCAGCAAAGAATGCTGGGTGAATTTCCACAAGCTATCGCCATGCAGCACCCAAATCAACCAGATGAGGGGATTTTACAGGGTGATGCCCAGTGTATCCTTCACCATAATAAGATGGTTGTGGGGTCTTTTAATGGAAAAGAGATAAGGAAATGGATTAAAAAATATATAAAATAAAATTGTATGAAAATAAGTGTTCAATCAAGAAATAATTTTGTTTAAATACAGTTCATTTCCGTTTAAATAAATAAAAAATTAATATAAAAAATTATAAAAAATCTCTGATTTACATTTATAGTATTTAAACACTAAATTAAATGCATACTTAAAAATGTAACTAAAATGTTACAAAAGTCATAATTAAGTATAATATAATTTTGCATAAATAATTACATTAAAAATCATTTAAGAATTTATACTACCCAAAGACTTCCATAAAGTCATGTATTGACATAAATTCATAATTTATATTAATATAATATAATACAATATAATATTAATTTGTTTATAAAATTAAAATTTTACGTAATTAATGATGCTCCAGTATAGCCTTTACTCTAATAACACCTTAACATTTTTAAAGTTAACCTTTAAAGTATAAGTTTTTTTTAAATCCTAATTTATCATTTATTTTAGCAATTAACTAATTAAAAAACTGTATTTATTTTATGTTTGATATCATACATTTTAGTTGTCCAAAAGTCTATACCACTTGTAAGTAAAGGAGCAGCTTGGACACACAAAATATGTTATTTTTCTTTGTACAAAAAAAAAAATAAATAAAAAGTTTATAAACAACATACAATTGTGCAAGCTTTTTCATTTAGGATTATCTATTCATTTAAAGTACTTGTTTATGCTGTATAGTAGCTGTTTGTCCTTCATGTAAAGCTCCATAGACCTCCAGATCTATGCTGTGACTCCAGTTCCAGAAAACATTGATGTGCTGCAGATGGACCGTGTGCCGGACCGCATCAAGAGTTTCTACAGAGTAAATAATGTCCGACGCTTCCGTTACGACCGGCCCTTCCACAAGGGGCCCAAAGACAAGGACAATGAATTTAAGGTGAATGTGAAGTTCTTCTCTCAGAACACTAGTGGATAAATGACTTCGGCTGAGGTTGCATCACATGTCTGTGTTTTCAGAGTCTCTGGATCGAGCGGACCACACTCATCCTCACCCACCCTCTGCCCGGGATCTCCCGCTGGTTTGAGGTGGATAAGCGCGAGCTGGTGGGTGACTCATCCAAACAAAAGCTGAATGTATCATCAACATAATGAAGTGACCATTTTAGTCTGCTTATTGAATCTCAATAATTGAAGTCAATCATTTGGAGCTGATAGCCTCATGGGCAGCAGTCTGACACAATGTGTTTTTTTTTATTTTGCATAAATAGTTAAATAATTTATATATATATATTTACATGTATTTAAATCTATATTCATATAATGTATATTATAAATATATATAAACATAGCATATTTATAAAATAAAATTCAAGGCATTGATGTTTGACTACAAAACCACCACTGGCTCTGCACCCCTTTACCTAAATTCATTACTTCAGAGTTATGTGCCCTCTAGAAGCTTGTGTTCTGCAAGTGAACGGCGTATTATTGTGCCATCTCAAAGAGGCACAAAATCACTTTCACAGACTTTTACATTAACTGTTCCCTCCTGGTGGAATGACCTGCCCAACTCAATCCGAGTCCTTAACCATTTTCAAGAAACGACTAAATACACATCTGTTCCATCTTTATTTGACCCTCTAACTCTAGCACTCTCTATTCGAATTCTATTCTTTTTAAAAAAGGGGACACTTATCCCTTTTAGACTTGCACTCTATTAATCTGCTGCTTGTTTTCTTAAAAAAAAAACACAAAAAACATTTGCTTTCTAATCTTTTTGTATTCTATCTGTTTTCTTTTCATTTATTATACAATTAACAAAAGCAAAAAAGACCTCTAACACTAGCTTGCTCTATTCTTTTTCTATTCTATCTATTTTCTTTTTATTTATTATATTATTTAAAAAACCCTTGCTACGTGTACTGCGTTAAGCTAAATGAGACTTGTTATAGCACTTGTATATAATTGCTCTTTTGTTGATTTTGATTGCTTTTATTGTCCTCATTTGTAAGTCGCTTTGGATAAAAGTGTCTGCTAAATGACTAAATATAAATGTTATATTTATTTATTCATATTCATAGCATATTATAATATATAAACATAGCATATTTTTCTGAAATATATACATGCATGTGTGTGTGTGTGTGTGTATTTATATATTCATAATAAATATACACAGTACACATACATATATTATGTAAACAAAAACTTTTATATTGGATGCGATTAATCATTTAACAGCACTAAAAAAAAGTTAACTTTAATTAAGTCATGAATTTACATATTGAATGTTTTTTTATGATTTTGCATCAATAATTAAATAAATAAATAAACAAATCTCCTCTCCAAATTTATACTATCCAAACATTAAACTCAATTTATATACTGAAAATTTTAACTTAAAAACAATTATTTCATGAAGTCACGAGTTTGCATATTAAGTATGGTTTTAATATACTTTTGCATAAATAAATAAATACATACTGTACATACATGTAAAATGCCATTTATACTACCTGAGCAATCAACTTAATTTAAAATTTGAAAATTTACTTAAAACATAAATACTTAAATTAATGATGATAATAAAAAACATTCTAAATTGCATTTATGCTACCCAAGCTAGGGCTGCACGATAAATCGAAATGGAATCGAGATCGCGATTCGACAGAATCTGCGATTGTCATGCGTATCTTTCAGTGAAGCACGGTTCTGTGATCAGCAGTAAATCTCCATCCAAAGGCCAGAGGGCGCTCTCGCGCTGAAACTCCAAATACGTCTCGCAGAAGAAACCCAGGAAATGCCTATCGCTGCAGCTGAATAAACAGAAGATTCAACTGCTTTCATTGATTCAACGTGACTAATAAATACACGACTACGGCAATATACGGTTTATCTGAGTTCTTATTATTATAATTTTCATTAAAATAAAGTATATTTATAATGCAATGCCTTTATCACTGCTTAAATACTATGAAATATGTTGCGTGCCTTATTCTGTGTAAGAAGCCACATCATCTCACAGAAGGATTTATTTCAAACACTCGACTGACGTTATGAAGTGAGTTTGGAGTAAAAATACGTTATTAAATGTGGTATTTTCACATGGTTTCAGATGGAGCAGCATTTACTACACAGAGCCGTAGTTCACTGAGAAGCTACCCTTACCAAAAAGTAGTCAAGTTTATTTTAGTAAGTATACTTAAGTAAAGTTCAAATATATTTTTAAGTATATTTGAATAAACTTATTTTTCGTAAGGGTATGCAAACAGCTGTCATTATCGCAAACGATTTCTTCGATTTCAGAATCGCGCAATAAAATCGTCTGCGTTTTTTTTTTTTTTTTGGTCAGTGAACTACGGCTATGTGTAGTAAATTCTGCTCCATCTGAAAGCATGTGATGATGATTTCCTGCTGATTACAGAACCGGCATTACTATCAAAATGCGCATGACAATATCATTCGATTAATCGTGCAGCCCTAACCCAAGCACTCAATTTAAACCGTATAAATGTAAATTTCATGAAGTCGTCATGAATTTCCATACATTAATTTTAAAATATAACTTTCATGGAGTCATTAATTTACATATTAAAATGTTTTTGTTTTTTTTACCTAAATAATTATATAATTAAAAAGCCCTCTAATTTAAATGAATACTACCCAAACACTAAGCTTGAAGATTATTTTAAAACAATGTCAATATAGTGCACAGATTTACTGAACAGAAGCTGTAAAATACATTCAGAGTACCTGTGTTTACCTCACGTATTGTAGATTGAGGTTAGTCCGCTGGAGAATGCCATATATGTGGTGGAGAACAAGAACCAGGAGCTGCGCACCCTGATCAGTCAGTACCAGCACAAGCAGCTTCACGGAAACATCAACCTGCTCAGCATGTGCCTCAACGGGGTGATCGACGCCGCCGTCAACGGAGGAATCGCCAGATACCAGGAAGTCAGTGCAAATTCAACCAAATTTGACTTTGAGGGGTTGAAAAGAACATTGTTTCTTTTGGCAGATGAGTTTATTTTGCTTTAGAAAGCTCACAGTAGCAGAGCTGTTTCTTCACATTCATCTGACAAGCTTTTTGTTTCCCACATGAATGAACATCAACCGTTCAGTCATCATCCAAAAGCATAGTTTCATATTAAGTTGTTGACTGTGTTTTTATGCCAGGCGTTCTTCGATAAAGAGTACATTAGCAGTCACCCAGAAGATACAGAGAAGATCACCCAACTCAAGGATCTGATGCAGGAACAGGTGAATACCTTCAAAGCTTCTCCATTTTAACCACTCAAAAGAGAGTTATAAACATCCAATAATGGTTCTTATTGAATAAACCCCACAGGTTCACATTCTCGGCATGGGTCTGGCTGTCCACGAGAAACTGGTGCATCCGGAAATGCGTCCCCTGCACAAGAAGCTGATCGATCAGTTCCAGATGATGAGGAGCAGCCTCTGTCATGTGAGACCTCACATCTGCTTCTGATGAATTAATCAACAATATTTGAATTTGCCAATTTATTTTCAGCCCCAATAAATCAAAATTTAGATAAAGTTCCCAACAAATTTCAATTTATTTGAGTTATATTGTAATTTTGTTGGCTTATCTATCAAGCCTAGCAACTAGCATAAGAGCTGGGTAGATTACTTATAAATTTTAGTTCATTACTGATTACGGATTACATTATGAAAACTGCAATTAGTAGTGTAATCTAGGTTACTCATTTTAGGTATTGTATTCGAACTACTTTTTAGATTACTTTTTATCTAACTTGTTTTAAATTTACCATAAAAAGTACAATATTGATATAGAAAGAAAATATGTTCTACAAAACGTGGCTTAATGTAAGAACTGCAGTGGGTTTGTGAGTCAAACACTGAAATAGAAATATTGAATTTGTTTATCCCAATATCAATGTGACCATTAAGCGACATCGAACTGTAGACATTCGAATATGTTGTTAAATTATTGAAATATTAACTTTCTCAGAGATATTTTACATTTACATTTACATTTAGCAGACGCTTTTATCCAAAGCGACTTACAATTGGGGGATACATAAAGCGATTCTTCTTAAAGAGGCAAACAGACACAAGAAGTGGTTGTAATACCAAGTTCTTAGACATTGTTCAAATAAGTACAAGCTAGAAAGAGAAGGAATAAATAAAGAGAGAGATACTTTTTTTTTTTTTTTTATGATGAAGTCAAGTAGCTTCGAAAGAGATGAGTTTTCAGCTGTCGCTTGAAAATTGTCAGGGATTCAGCATTCCGGATAGGGGTGGGAAGATCGAGAATGTTCTGGAAAGTGATTTTGAGCCTCTCTGTGATGGCACCACGAGGCGTCGCTCACTAGCGGATCTCAGACTTCTGAAGGGGATGTAAATTCGTAGTAGTGAGTGGAAGTAGGCAGGTGCTGAGCCTGTGGCTGTTCTATATGCAAGCATCAATGTCTTGAACTTGATTCGGGCCGCGACCGGTAGCCAGTGCAAGGAGATAAAGAGAGGTGTAACATGGGAAGAGAAGACAAGAAGCTCAGTCTTTGCCAGGTTGAGCTGTAGGTAAATATTTCAAGTAAATATTATATGTCAAAGGGGTTTGGTTGACAAATGTTTGGGAATTCCTGCATTACATGAGCATACATTAATAAACATGAAAACTGCAATGACATTACATGCCCAAAGTCTTCCAGGTTTTTTATATTTTTGTCCAGACTGTAATCTGATTAAAGATAATCCTCGGGTCCAGGTCCGAATCAGAGCTCCACAGAGAAATCCCTTCCTCCACTGCATTTGACCAAACCAAGGAGAAGGCTGAAGATCTGTACCCTGACTGAGCGAGAACTGGAAACAGAGACTGACAAGGAGACAGGAACATGAGGATAACGAACCGACAAACACACATTGAACAGACAGAGGGTACAATAAATGCAATGAAAAATCTAGTTTGACCTGGGACTCTGATTTGACTGTTTTTGACGGATTTAGCACTTCAACTTCAACGAATTCAACACTTATCTGACTCTAAAGCTGTTTTGTGAGGGCATTAGCTCTTTACCTACAAACTAAACTCACACACACTGAATTCCCCTCTCACCTACAAGCTGTTTGCACTCAAACCACAACTCTACAGAAAACCAACCATGCCGGCTTTCATTTTGACTCAGAAGATGCACTGCAGAAAGTCACAATCTGAGATGGCAGAGGATAACAACTATATATTGTTATTTTCCAATCAAAAATGATAAATAATTGATTTATTGATCTAATTGGTCATGTTTAACATAGTTAGAGAGCTAATTTTGGAAAATGGTGTATGCTGTCTGAAAATGGGGCAACTTCCAAAATCTACAATTCCTCCCCTTCTACATAAAGTGGCTTTAAAAAATGTGTATCATTTTGTGACAACAGTTTACAGCCTTGCTGTTGTCTCTCCAGTGCACCTGCTGTCACTTTCATTTGCACCAAAGCGTGTTAATCTATTTCACAATCACTTATGTTTCCTAATTGGACAAACTGATATCCCAGAAGTTTAATTGACTTGGTGTTACACTGTGACGATTAAGTGTTTTTTGAGCAGTGTATATCCGCACCATAAAGAAAAAAAAATAGTCCACGTGGCTTTTCAAACGCTCTACACTACTCTGCAAAAGGTTATTCATTACCACATGCAGTGGTAATAGCTCGCTAAAACATTGGCTGTCAGTACTCATCTCAATATAGGTGTCACGGCAGAGAAGAGTCAGGATCCAAGTGCGAGTGCAAAAGGTAAGGTTTATTTGTAATCACAAACAATGGAGACAACAAAGATAATCCTCGGGTCCAGGTCCGAATCAGAGCTCCACAGAGAAATCCCTTCCTCCACTGCGTTTGACCAAACCAAGGAGAAGGCTGAAGATCTGTACCCTGACTGAGCGAGAACTGGAAACAGAGACTGACAAGGAGACAGGAACATGAGGATAACGAACCGACAAACACACATTGAACAGAGTGCCCTATATAGGACTCGTTAACGAGTTGCAGCTGGCGCGCTCTGATTGAGCGCCAGCTGCAAACACTAATGAATGACGTACGCACATACAACCACATGACAAGACACAGAAAGACCGTCCGGACCCATGAACCGTGACAGATTATGAGCATTATAAAATGTAATATACTCTAATTACGAGTACTTGATTTTTGTAATCTGAATACGTTATCCAGATTACATGTAATCATTTACTGTTCAGCTTTGCCAACATGTATATATCTTAAACATGCTAGCAACATGATAAAACATACTAACACTGTGTCCTAACTACACGCAACGTGATGCCGCGACACGCGATAAATGGTATCTTTTCCATGTTAATCAGAGTTTTTGTCCTAACTAGCCACGATGGCGACATGCAAAATTTCTATTTTAGAAACGGTTTCTTTTTCCGCGACGTCGCGGCTGGAACAATGACATACAAACTATGACAGTGATGACTGATTATGTGCTTTATTCAATGTTAAAAGTGTCTAATATGAGTTTGAATATCATATTACGAGACATGTATAGCCATAATGAAAACTTAAACGGATAGTTTAGATAGTTTACCTCAGATTTTGAAAATAAATTAAAGCAAACATGTAGGTTAAAACTGCGAACACAATGCGAACCAGCAAGCGTATTCCATAACAAAGATGGTACAGTGTCAGTCACTCAGTATGTAAATTTAAATATGTTAAAAGGATAATATTTATGAATTAGATTATAAACTTATCCATTTTGTTGCGAGTGCAGTGTGCTTCCAGAGCCCGCCCCCACAGACTTCTGATTGGCTGTGATATTTGATTGATTCTGTCGCGTCACGTTTTCGCATCGTGTCTAGTGTGGACACCCAAATTGCTTGTCGCTGGAATATTGTTGCGTCGCGTGTAGTTAGGACACAGTGTAACAATTGCAACCACCCACAACACCCTAGCAACCACCTAAAATACCCTAGCAACCACAAAGTAATTTATCAGTCTGAGAGACTGAATGGCCTTAAAACCTTTAAAAGTAAAACTGCTCCAAATTTCAAGCTTTTAAAACTCATTCAAATTTAAAACTACTTCAAACTTCAAGCTTTTAAAACTACTTCAAACTCTATAATCAGGCTTTCTCAAGCCAACTTTACATTTGGATAACTCATTGATGACTTCACGCATTGGCATTTCCAAATATTTGTCCAATCAAATGCTTTCTAGGATGAGAATATGATAATTGCACTTGTAATACAACCTACTTGTTGGTATGACCAGTAATGACCCCCCCCCCCCCCCCCCCCC